TTTGACTGTTTGAGCGCACCACTGTTCTTGCAAGACTTGAAGAAAGTTTATATTAGAGCTTCAGCTTATATAGCTTTTATACTCCTATTTTACCATTACCTTTGTACTGCTAATAATAAGAAAAATTTGGCAAGATTCTGATTTATTGTACAATGTTTTTACTTGGCAAGGAATTATTGCATATATAGAAGTACTCATCAAATCAATCCTTCTCCCCAAGACAAAGGACTTCCAAAGTGCCGGTCTCAATAGTTTTGATAAACATGAACATAGTTTTGATAAACATGAACATTATTATCTATCTTTATATAGAATTGTATATATTCCCGTGTCTGACCTTATTTAAGAATCATTTGTATAACATTGCATCCTTGTAATTCTATATTATACTATGAAAAATATTCTTGAATATTTAATTTATGCTAAAATATTTTATTTTCAATTACATGAAACTATTGTGTAAAACATTTTATATACAGGTACATGTAAATTATCATCAATCAAAGGTCAAAAAATTACAAATATCTCCAAATATAAAATTTTGCGATGAAAAAACGAATATGGAAAAAACGTCAATAAATGTCTTTTTACTGATAGCATAATAATGTACACAATCGTCAATAAATGTTATTTTATTGACGCATTTCATTTTTCGTCACTAATTAAATTTATTAATGACAAGCATAATTGTATGGAAAACGTACTGACGAAATATTCTACTTCGTCACAAACTATTACCGACGTTTTTGTTAATATTACGTTGCAAAAAGTATGTATTCAATGACATTATCAAGACCATGCAAAAACGTCAGTAATCGTAATATTTTGTGACGAAAAATTAACTTCGTCAATAATACCTTTCCATACGCCGCTAACCCAACAGTCGGGGTGACGTTTTCATTTCGTCAGTAAAGACATTTGGCGACGTTTTTTTACTTTTATCGACATTTTTAACGTCACTAAATGACAGATTTCTTGTAGATACAAAAACTTCACTTTTTCCCTTCATTTTTCAACTCAATGGGTCTACTTTGAGAATCAATATCTCATTCGCCCATTATCCGTTTTGAACGTACAATATATCAATCTCTTCGTCAAGTGGACCCCACTCTGATAATTGTATCACTAAATAGCCACTTAAAATGCTATTTTAATACTATTTTTCCAACAAATCTAACAAGTAATAACAAAAGTCTGGAAGCTAGAAATATTTTGGGTATATAAGACAAAAGATGCACATCTATCTCCATCACTCCACGAAGTAGAGAAACATAACATTCATCATCTGATGATTAAAATGGTCAAAAATACGAGGCATAAGGCTTGCACTTCTTATACAAAGGGTAAGGGTATGAGCAAAAGGTAAGAACTAAGGAATAACGTAACTTACAATTGAATGACACACATGTTAAGACTCCGAAGTCTGTAATGTGCCACTGTCTTGTGAAGATAAACACTTCAATCAAACAAGCTGGAAAAATGAGAATATAATGAAAATACACAACACACATATAAGCTTTGTACACAAATGAAAATGAGTGGTGAGAAGAATTTGTAGTAACAAAGCTTGTTATTAGAAACATGGAGCTGTCTGTTTATTTTCTCATTAAATAGAATCATGTCAATAATAATTGTATACTTGATATTTAAAGCCACATTGTTCTTTCCAACTACTATGTAATGTGATAACACAACATTCTACATCTTTAAGCTTAATCACATTAACAAGTAATGTAATATATGTTAGTCATAGTGGTCCCAGAATTTGTGGAGGCAGTCCGTGTTGCAGCAAATACAAAAGAGCCCTACTATTTTTCCGCTGCGAGTAGTTAGCTGCATGCATCCAATTAAGAAATATGAGCACATCATAGTTAATAAAACTTGGTAGTAGATTATTATTATTATTATTATTATTATTATTATTATTATTATTATTATTATTATTATTATTATAACAATACTTTACTAGATATATAAATAGTTCAAATATGTAATAGACCAAGATATTTTCTTGATCATCATAATCATAAGCAAAACTCACAACAATATAATATAATATGCAGAATATATAGCTAAGATCGATTAAGATTCCACCCGAATCAAACAAATTCAAGGGAAAGCACATTGCATGGAGGGAGATTTAAATAACAAGTAACGGAATAACAGCAAATTAATTAAAATTTGACCACTGCACTCAAAAGCATGCATTATTGAGTAAATCAGGTTACAAAAATAAATACCATAAAGAATTTAGTCTCTCCATGATCACATTTAGGACAGCGGATAAGTTTTGTACGATGGAGTTTTGGATCTGCAGTATTTTGAATCACATTTCTGTAGATACAGTTGTTATCAGCAACCTCTTGTACAATATTACAATGAAACTAGAGTTAGCAACATAATGAGTTAGTAAGATCAAAACATACAATATAAATAAGACTAAATTAAAGTCAGGAATAGAACAGAAGAATATTGGCATTATATTGAAGCTAAGGTAGTAAGGTACCTAGTGGACTAAATTAAAGCCAGGGATAACGGAAGAATATCAATGTGGCATTATATTATATTGAAGAATACCTGGTGATTGCACATAGCTTCGTCATCCTTTGGGTACAGTTCGTTGTTGCTGCACCAACAGATAGAGTCAAGTGAAAACACTCATGATAGCTAGCTTACACAAGAAAAAGATTAAAATTAATAATTCAAGAAACTAACCATTCAGGGCAAAACTTAATAGTACTCATTTTTTCAAGTCGTTTGGTTCTTAGTCTTCTTCCCCTGAAAACCCTAGCTAGCTTCGCTGCTGTGACGCGGGATCACTAATGGCTTTTATATTGGAGTTGAGGATGAATTACATTGGTGAACGAAGACTGAAGCAAGCGGGTCACTAATGGCTTTTATATTGGAGGTTGAATTATATTGGTGAAGGGAGACTGGAGCAAGCGGAACTCTAATGACTTTTATATACTATGGTTAGGAAGCCTGTAAGTTATTATTATTATTATTATTTTTTGTTTTTGTTTTTGTTTTTTTGTTTTGTTGGTTTTTGTTTTTTCTTTTTAGCCCAAACCTTTTTAAAAGCTTATTTAATATGACTGAATTTTTTTAACAGTCAATCTATACTGTATATAATTAAAAAATCCTAAAATTTTAACTTCTCGTCGAATTCCTAAAAAATCCCCCTTCCCAATAAAATATATTGATTTCTACTTTCCTATTCGTACAATAATTCTGGGTAAAAATTCTATTCTAAAATTTTAAAATAGTGTAATACAATTTCCTTTGCACATCTATATCTATCTTCTTCTTCTATACTATAGATAATAACAAAATCCTGAAATTTTAACTTTCCCGCTCAATTCCTAAAAAATCTATCATCGCAATAAAATATATTGATTTCTACTTTCCCATTGGTACAATAATTCTGGGTAAAAATTCTATTCTAAAATTTTAAAATAGTGTAATACAATTCCCTTTGCACATCTATACTGCGCAACAGAGTCCACAAATTATGGACCACTCCGATCAACAATCCGAGCAGTGGGGGTTGATCTAGACGCATCCCTAACCCCATCTATGGCCTCCGATCGTCCATGCATGGACTCAAACGCCGGAAAAACCTCCCGCGACGAAGACCGGTTCGCGACTTGCGAATTTGCTGATGGTTGCCGATCGCCAAACTAATGGTGGTGATACTGTCGCTGGGAGTGGGAGACTGCTCTGGAGGGTTGCGAAAGATCATCGCTGGCCTAGAGCCTCTTGATCGCCGACTTCGAGAGAGTATAGCATTGTGACGAAGATCGGCCATCACGGAAGAGTATAACAGGAGGTTACTTTATATTATATTTAATATAAATGGTGAAAGGGCTGCCAACTAAATACTTCCACATCAGCAAAAAAAAAAAAAAACCTCCACATCATCAATAACTTGTCACTTGGAGGCAACCTGCTAAAAAGGCTAAGTGGACACAATTTTTTGGTTTGTGAATTGAATAATCACTTATGTAAGTCCAGGATGTGGCATGACATATCGCAATTGGTTCATGGTGCGATTTGACACTTGAGCCTACTATATATAATAACAAAATCCTGAAATTTTAACTTTCCCGCTCAATTCCTAAAAAATCTCTCTTCCCAATAAAATATATTGATTTCTATTTTCCCATTCGTACAATAATTCTGGGTAAAAAGTCTATTCTAAAATTTTAAAATAGTGTAATACAATTCCCTTTGCACATCTATATCTATACTATATATAATAAAAAAAAATCCTAAAATTTTAACTTCCCGCCCAATTCCTAAAAAATCTCCCTTCCCAATAAAATATATTGATTTCTACTTTCCCATTCGTACAATAATTCTGAGTAAAAATTCTAGTTCGTACAATAATTCTAGGTAAAAATTCTATTCTAAAGTTTTAAAATAGTGTAATACAATTCCCTTTGCACATCTATATCTATACTATCTATCTATACTATATATAATAACAAAATCCTGAAATTTTAACTTTCCCGCTCAATTCCTAAAAAATCTATCTTCCCAATAAAATATATTGATTTCTACTTTTCCCTTCGTACAATAATTCTGGGTAAAAATTCTATTCTAAAATTTTAAATTAGTGTAATACAATTCACTTTGCACATCTATCTATCTATCTATCTATACTATCTATACTATATATATAATAACAAAATCCTGAAATTTTAACTTCCCGCCCAATTCCTAAAAAATCTCTCTTCCCAATAAAATATATTGATTTCTACTTTCTCATTCGTAAAATAATTCTGGGTAAAAATTCTATTCTAAAATTTTAAAATAGTGTAATACAGATGAGAATTCGGGATCAGAATCAATTTCAGAAAGATAGGAATACAGGAGAGTATATCTCAGTCTATCTCTAACTGTTCCTATCTAACAGGTTATTAGTAGAAGACTAGTTCTAACCATACAATAATAACTATATAGTAAAACATAACAATTAATATAACTCATACACCCCCTCAAGCTGACGGTGTTAGGGACACAACGTTGAGCTTGTCACGGAGATCAATAAACCTTGGCCCAGACAGCGGTTTAGTGAGAATATCTGCAAGCTGATCCTTCGTAGAGACAAAATTAACCACAAAGTCACCACTGGCTACCTTATCACGGACAAAATGATAGTCGATTTCAACATGCTTCGTTCTGGCGTGGAAAACTGGATTTGCGCAAAGATATGTCGCTCCCAAGTTATCACACCATAAAGTAGAGGGTTGCCCTGAGTGAAGACCTAACTCCCGAAGTAGAGAAACAACCCAAGTAACCTCAGCTGCCACATCGGCTAAGGCCTTGTATTCTGCTTCAGTCGACGAGCGTGCAACTGTCCGCTGTTTCCGGGAAAGCCAAGAAATGAGATTCGACCCAAGGAACACTGCGTACCCGCTGGTGCTCTTCCGATCTATAGGACAGCCGGCCCAATCGGAGTCGGAATAAGCGTGAACAGAGGAAGTTGACGAGGGACTTAGCCGCAACCCATACTCCAGTGTGCCCTTTACATACCTTAAGACTCGCTTGACCATACCCCAATGCTCATCAGTCGGGGCATGCATAAACTGACACAACCGGTTTACAGCATATGATAAATCCGGCCGAGTAATGGTGAGATACTGTAAGGCCCCAACAATCCGACGGTACTGTGTGGGATTGTCAAACGCCTCATCGGACGGCGTGACTGGCTGAGTTGTCGAAGCAGGAGTGGCTAAGGGCTTGCAGTCGACCATACCAGCCCTATTCAAAAGATCATGCATGTAACGACGTTGTGACAAAATTACTCCATCCGGAGTATCCACTGTCTCAATTCCCAAGAAGAAGCTTGGTTTACCGAGATCTCTGATTTTGAAAGCCGTTGCAAGACGGTGTAGCAAGGTGTTAATAAGAGTTACACTGTTTCCCAGCATAATAATGTCATCGACGTATACTAATAAAAAGACCTGACAACCATCTGAACTGTAGTAAAAGAGGGATACATCTGTTTTTGAAGCACTGAAACCCGTAGTGAGCAGAAAGTCATGAAGGCGTTTAAACCACGCCCGAGGTGCCTGCTTAAGACCATATAAGGACCTCTGCAAGTGACAGACATGATCCGGATGAGTTGGGTCTTCGTACCCCGGTGGTTGTTTCATAAATACAGTTTCAGCTAGACGCCATTTAGGAAGGCGTTGTGAACATCTAGTTGCCTTAAGGTCCACTTGTTGGTGATAGCCAACGACAGAAGGAGACGAACAGTTGTCGGTTTGACAACCGGGCTGAAGGTGTCGAAGAAATCTTCCCCAGCGACCTGATTGTAGCCTTTAGCCACAAGCCGTGACTTATGCCTCTCTACTGAGCCATCAGCAGTCCGTTTGGTGCGAAACACCCACTTACACCCAATGATATTCATGTCGGGCTTGGGTGGGACCAAACGCCAAGTGTCGTTATGCAGAAGGGCATTAAATTCCTGATCCATAGCATCCCTCCACTGTGGGTGCCCAACAGCTTGGGAATAACAAGTTGGATCAGCTGTAATAGCCGTGAGGGCTTGAAATTCTTCATCAGTTCCATGAGTCTGATAGCGAAGACGCATGACATGAGCCCGTTTCTGTGGTTGGGTCCGACCTCGGCCTCGACCCCGACCCCGTCCCCGTCCCGTCCCCGAGTGGCTGGGACAGCGGGCTCAATAGCTAATGGTGGGGCTTCTCGAGCTATTGGACGTGGGTCTGAGTCAGGAGATAAGGGAGTGACAGGACGCACCTCTGGGTGGACCTGAACTGGCACAACGGGCCCAGATGCCCAAGGCACTGGCTGGGGTTCAACGCTGCGAGGTGTCACACCTGTAACAAACGGAAAGATTGTTTCATCAAACCGCACATGGCGACAGATATAAGTTTTTCCACTAGTTAAATCCATGCATCTGTATCCTCGAAAGGAAAGAGGATACCCCAGAAAGACACACGGGGTGGAGCGAAACTCTATCTTATGCCGATTGTAAGGCCTAAGATAAGGGTAACACAGGCACCCGAAGACGCGTAGAAACTGATAAGGGGGTAGCTTTTTGTGTAGACGGAAATGGGGGCTTTCAAATTTTAGGACAGAGGAAGGTAGATAATTGATGAGACATGTGGCTGTCTCGAATGCATAGTCCCAATATTGTTGTGGGACCGACCCTTGAGCTAGAAGAGCTAAACCCGTTTCGACAATATGTCTGTTGCGGAGTTCAACTCTCCCGTTTTGCTCGTGTGTGTAGGCACACGACTGTCGGTGATTAATCCCAAGAGATTGAAACGTAGCGTGGAGTTTGCGGTATTCACCCCCTAAATCGGATTGTATGGACTTGATAGAGCGCGAGAATTGCCGCTCTACCAAAACACGAAAAACATCAAAAGTTTTATAGATGTCTGATTTTACCCTTAATGGATAAAACCAGCAATAACGTGAAAAATCATCTACAAAGAGAAGAAAATATCTAAAGCCACTAGACGAGATAACTGGTGCAGGACCCCAGATATCTGTATACAATAAGTCAAGAACATTATTACTAGAGTTATCAATTCTGTCTAATGGAAAATGACATGACTTGCCAAGGTGGCAAGCCGTGCATGACCCGAAACTAGAATTATTTTGTGACACTAGACAGTGCTGCAGAATTTTGTTTTGGACTAGTTTGTGTGGATGACCAAGTCTGCGATGCCAAATTGCGGGCGTTGCACGGGAACTAACGAACGCGAAATGACTCCGGGAAATGGGTAGCTTGTATAGACCGCCAGAAGTTGGGCCTTTAAGGAGCACCGCCTTGGCGCTGGAATCCTTCACAACAAAACAACTGTCATGAAATTCAAAATAAACAGAATTTTCTTTAGCGAATTTTTGTACAGATAATAGTGGGACAGTCAATTTCGGGACATGAAGAACATTAGATAGGTGTAACTGTTTAGACAAAGAGGGGATCGATGCATGGCCAACCCGTGAAATTACTAAACCTGTACCATTGCCCACTCGGAGAGTGTCCGGGCCATTATACTCCTCCGAGGACGTGAGTATTCCGGCTTCGGGAGTTGCGTGGGCCGTGGCTCCTGTATCGGGATACCACGCATCAACCGAGGGTGCAGACGTGACCGGCGAGTCACCGGAGACAGCTACATGGGCTTGAGCCGGTGGTTGGGTCGTGTACCGTTTGTTGCAATAAACGGCAGTATGTCCATGTGTTCTACAGATTTGGCACCGTGGAACACCCGTTGGTTGCGACCACCGCCGCGATTCCGGTCACGCCCGCCGCGCCACCCGAATTGCCGGCCTCCATTACCGGCGTTGTTACTGCCTCCGCTACCGCCACGTCCCGAGCCACCACTGCCACGGCCTGCGTATAGCGCTGTCGGCGCTGCTCCATCTGCAAAGTCGTCCGCCAGAATGAAGTCGGCGGCTTGCAGATGATCCGCCAAGTGTGGGAGCGATACGGGTGCGTGGGCTGTTAGAGACGCTGCATACGCCCTGTACTCCGGCCTCAAGCCTCGTAGGACGTAGAGATTTTGCTCCGCCAAGGACATGGGTTGCCCGGCCTGCGCAAGAGCTTCCACCAATAGCTCCGCCTTGCCGAGATAATCACACGGCGTCGACGCCCCTTGCTGGAGCGCCTGGAATTGGCCGAGCAGGCTCAAGCAGCGTGCCTGCGTGTTGGACCCGAGAGCTGCACAGATCGACCTCCAAACTTCGGCGGCGGAATTCCGACCAACCGCTAGGTGCAACACCTCGTCGGACATGGATGATATGAGGAGGCTCAGAATGGACTGATCCTGGAGAACCCAGGCCTTATGTGCCGGGTTCGGGACTGATGGAGCCGAAGTGGTGGCGCCGGAGCCAGAGCCGCCGGAGGACTCGGTGATGAATGCCGGTGGACACGGGTGAGTGCCATCAACGAAGCCAATAAGATCTTGACCTCTAAGGAATGGGAGAAGTTGAGTTATCCAAAATAAGAAGTTCCTAGAGGTTAGTTTCATTGAGATGAAGTGATGGGCTCCTGCTAGGGGATTTCCGGTCGCCGGAGAGGCACCGCCGGCGGCGGCGGACGGAGTCCTCTCGGAAGAATGGGACGACATAACGGCAGGGTAGGGAGGGGGTTGGGTGTTTTGCGGTGGAGGATCGTGTTTAGGCTGATACCAGATGAGAATTCAGGATCAGAATCAATTTTAGAAAGATAGGAATACAGGAGAGTATATCTCAGTCTATCTCTAACTGTTCCTATCTAACAGGTTATTAGTAGAAGACTAGTTCTAACCATACAATAATAACTATATAGTAAAACATAACAATTAATATAACTCATAATACAATTCCCTTTGCACATGTATAATCTATAATCTATAATATATATATATATATATATATATATATATATATATATATAATAATAATAATAACAAAATCTTGAAATTTTAACTTCCCGCTCAATTCCTACAAAATCTCTCTTCCCAATAAAATATATTGATTTCTACTTTCCCATTCGTACAATAATTCTGCGTAAAAATTCTATTCTAAATTTTTAAAATAGTGTAATACAATTCCATTTGCACATCTATACTATATATAATAAAAAAAAATCCTAAAATTTTAACTTCCCGCCCAATTTCTAAAAAATCTCTCTTCCCAATAAAATATATTGATTTCTACTTTCCCATTCGTACAATAATTCTAGGTAAAAATTCTATTCTAAAATTTTAAAATAGTGTAATACAAATCTCTTTGTACATCTATATCTATCTATATTATCTATAATAACAAAATCCTGAAATTTTAACTTTCTCGCTCAATTCCTAAAAAATCTCCATTCCCAATCAAATATATTGATTTCTACTTCCCCATTCGTACAATAATTCTGGGTAAAAATTCTATTCTAAAATTTTAAAATAGTGTAATACAATTCCATTTGCACATCTATACTATATAATATATAATAACAAAATCCTGAAATTTTAACTTTCCGCTCAATTCCTAAAAATCTCACTTCCCAATAAAATATATTGATTTCTACTTTACCATTCGTACAATAATTCTGGGTTAAAGTTGTGATGTATCAAAAGTTCGGCAAGGCATAACTTTTGACTCGATTGTCCGTTTTGGACAAATACTTTTTTGAAATCGCCTATTTTTTCGATATCTATCCACCGCAAACTGCCGTAGGCGGTTTTGCCCACCAATTCCAAAAAAAATGCTTTATTAAATAGTTTCTATGAAAAAACTATGAGAACCTTATGTTTTATTAATGAATTTTTAAAATTTTTAATTAAAAAATTGTCCCGTGCATTATTTAATAATCTCTCTTTATAATTGGTCAAATTATTTAATTATGATAAATTAGGGAATAATTAATGATGGTAATAGAAATCCTAGAAGACTATTAGAATTGAAGAATATTTAATTATTGTTATATTATTATTGTGACTCACGGAATACAATACAGGAATATTTAATTATGGTTATATTATTATTTTGTGCCTCGCGGCCATTATATATTAACAAAACTTGAAAAGAAACTAAAAATAATAATAATAATATAATAATAATATAAGTGGTAAAAATAATATCTAAAAGTAATTAAATGTTAATAATAATAGTAAGAATATTAACGTAAGAATTATAACATAGAATAAATCGTCATAATTAATAACTATAGTCTAAGATTAAATTTGGAATTGTCAGCCAAGATAAGCGACCTCTGATGAAATTAACTCTTTATCGATTTAAATATTCTTAATATATTACAACAACTCCATTCCGTGCACGGGTGAAGATACTAGTTTAATATATAAACTTAAAAAGACTTCAAAATAAGTTCTAAATAAAATTTATCGTACATGTTATATATAGTTTTAAGGTTTACATATTTATAAATTTTTAAAAATATAACTAATGCAATAATATAAATCTAATACAAAATTATATCACCATAAATCCATTAGTATCAATACAATCAATCAATGAACACAGAATTATAAGTTCATAATACAAAATCCAACATTGCATTTTTAATAAACATAAGTTCATAATACAAAATCCAACAACACATTTTAATAATCACAAAACCATAAGTTCATAAAACAAAAATCCAACACAAGTTTAATAACCACATAACCACAAGTTCAAAGATGTGTGATGTGTATGTGACAATTACAATTGAATGTAATTGATGATGCTGAACAAGTAATACTGAATTGGATATCCCTAGCTATATATGGGCACATGGTTGCACCCATACCCATTTTAACAGCCTGATGGCTTGAATACTATATTGATTATTCCTTTTGATTAACACATACCATAAGAGTTCTTTCATGTGTAAACTCTTGGTTTATTTCTCAATACATTATACGTTAGTTTATCAATGTATGTTGCTTGGGAATAGAATAGGACATTTAATGAGCCCGCTATTACTTGCATTGGTATTACAATGTAATGAAACTCTATTGTGCAAACCAAAATTTGTTTCGGCTAAGCCTCCTAGAAAGATGCAACCCAATGTATACGCAGCAATTATCTTCACTCTCAAAACGGCGTAGTTTTGTGTGGGCGGGAGAATTTTTTCAGCAAAAACTCGAACTTAGTGCTTTATTATAATAATAATAGATAGATAATAGATATATAAGATTCATCTCGTAACAAAAACAATGAAAGTCCAAATTAAATAATTAAACAGGACTCCTATATTTAATAGAACGTCACACGTCTATATTTAATAGAACTAGAACGTCACACGTCTATATTTAATAGAACCAGAACGGCACACATCACACATCTATATTTAATAGAAGGGTCCTGACACGTAATCATCAATCCAGCTGTCGTCGTCCCAGAATCTGTGGAGGCAGTCCGAATTGCAGCAAATAAAAGACAGCCCTGCTGGTATTCCGCTGCGAGTCGTTAGCTGCACGCATCCAATTAAGAAATATGAGCAATTATTATTATGATAATAATAATTTACTGCTAAGTTTATTAGATCTGTGATGTAATAGTCCAGACATTTTCTTTCTTGATTCATAAATGTAAGCAAAATATAATAGCCCTTTGGCTAGGCAGTATTAATTAGAACAACAATAATGCAATGCAGTGAAACTAAAGAACAGTCATGGCACTCAAAAGCATACATTGAATAAACTGAGTTACAAAAATAAGTACCCAAAAGAATTTAGTGTCTCTATGACCACATTTAGGACATTGCGCAAGTCTTGTACTATGATAGAGTTTTTGTTCTGCACTTACGACATAATGTTGAATCACATTTCTATTATCAGCGACCTCCTGACAATATTACAATAAAACTAGAGTTAACAACATAACTAGTCAGTAAGATCAAAACGTCAATAAGACTAAATTAAAGTCTTCGATCAGATCAATGTGACATTATATTGAGGGGTACCTGGTCGACTAAATTAGGGTCGGGCATCAAAAAGAAGAATACTCGGTCATCACACCTGCGACATGCATAGCTGACGATCTTCAAAACTTCATCTTCTTCCGTTGTGTACAGTTCGTTGTTGCTGCACAAGAGATAGAGTCAAGTGAAAACACTCATGCTAGCTTACAGAAGAAAAAGATAATTCAAAAAACTAACCATTGAGGGCAAAACTTAATAGTACTCATTTTTGCAAAGTCTTTGTTCCAATGGCGTTTGGTTCTCAGTCTTTCTTCCCTGAAAACCCTAGCTAGCTTCGTTGCTAAGACGCTGGATCACTAATGGCTTTTATATTGGAGCTGAGGATGAATTATATTCGTGAAGGAAGACTGGAGCGAGCGGGTCACTAATGGCTTTTATATTGGAGGTTGAGTTATATATGGGTGAAGGAAGACTGGAGCAAGCGGGACTCTAATGGCTTTTATTTACTATGATTTTTTTTTTTTAAATACAATATAGTAAATAATATGGCGCAAATTATGTTGTGGACTCGTGTCCACAATGCATTGAATTTATGATCTTTTATTATTATTTTCCATAAAGATTATTTTTAAGAATTAAGAATTGACTATGTGTTGTTTATAATGATCATTTTAGGTTATAGGTGTGAAATAAATTGTTGCATATGTTGTATTCATGACTTATTGAGTGGATCGTGACAGTCCAAAAATGACATCAAACACACTTTTAACAAGTAAGAAGGGTTATTTAGAGATGAAAGACAGCATTGCCACACGTACGTACGGGCATAAACAATGGGTTATAACAAATAAGAAGGGTTATTTGCCCGAAAAGAAATGTGAAGAAGCCACAGAAAAGAAATGTGAATCAAAACCATGTATCACACTTTGAAGGGTTTTTTTAGGTGTATATGTTCATAATTTTATCACTATATGTTCATAATTATAAGTTCATAATGTCAAAGCTCTGTGTTCATAATTGCATAATTGTAAATTCATAATTCAATAACTGTAAATTCATAATTTTCAAAACTCTATGTTCACAATTTTAGAGCTCTATATTCATAATTTTATTACTATATGTTAATAATTGTAAATTCATAATGTCAGAGCTCTGTCTTCATAATTCCATATAACTTATATTCATAATTCCATAACTGTACATTCATAATTCCATAACTGTACATTCATAATGCCACAAACGAATAACGCCGTTAACGGCGAGACAATATTAATTTTTTTTTTTTTAACTGGAAGGCCGCGTTTTTCCTTAAAACAACGTCTTGGATTCGTGTCCACAATGCATTGTGGACACGAATCCACAACATAATTTGCGCACTTTAATTTGACAAGTATCACAAACATTTTGAGAATTTAGTGTATAACCGATGAACTGGGGGCCGGGCTCGTTAGGCCTCAAATTAAAGTTGTTCGTGTTCTGACCCAAATAGGGAAAATCTTAATCGATCTTCATTGCTTCCTGCAAGAAAAACATAAACTTTAAAAAGAAATGCAGCAAATGAAGCGATTACTGTTTTCCCTTTAACTATGATTTTTTGTTGTTTCAATTGGTTTTAATTTGTAAAATGGGTGTTACATACTTACATAGGTGTTTGCACAGAAATTGTGGACCAGCCACGCGAATCAGACAAATTATTGTGTGAACTATGGTCTACATAGATGTGTAAATCATGAATGCAATGTACATTTTAATATATTAAAAGTATATTATTTTTGTATTAAATATACACTATTTTAAATATATAAAAATATACTTTTTATTTATGTTTCACACAAATGTGTGGACCATGATTTATGTAATAATGATTGGACAAATCATCTCTGTTGTCGTTGGTGAAAGCATTTGATTCTATTGTTGCAGTTTATGAAGGTTTTGTAACCTCAAACATGTTTATTTCTTTAAATTTGAAGTGTTAATGTTGTCGAATAATTGTCGGTGGATCTGATTAACCTGGTAACTAATCCACACCCCACCACTCTATCTATTCCGTATTTATTAGAACTAGTATTTCACCTGTGCGATGCACGGTATAAAAATAAGGGTACAATTATTATTCCTGAAAAATATATTATAAACACAAATAAAAGATTAGTAAATAAATAATTGCATTAGAAAATATAAATTTAAACATGTAATAAAAACAAATATTATTAAAAACTATTAATGTTATTAAATTTTACATATAAAAAAGAAATATGAGCATTTTATTTATTTTTAAAATTGTGTTATTTAATAATTATGTTCATTTGCTATGAAAATTTATGAAATAATTTTAATTAATATAAAAATTGATATTGATGATTTCATTCAATATTTGAAGTGGATTATTCATTTCAAAGATTTTCAAATTATATTTTATTATATGTTTCTTATCCTTAAAAATTATATTATAATTAAGTGTATTATGATCATTTTAATTTGAACAATGAATAATAAATTCGAATAAAATCAAACTATTCTAACATAATACAAATAAATGTAAATTAATATTTCCAATAAATATATTGTAGATAGAAAATGTAACTCAATTCAATTACATTTTTGTTATTTAATTCTAATAACATAAATTAATCTTTCAAAATATAATTCTTTAAAATTATTTTCTTAAAGAAAAAATTAAAACAAAATAAAATATTAATACAAAATACGTGTCTTATATAAAAATAGCAGCTCAATCCATTCCTATCAGTTCTAATATATAACCCAATACACAATCCAAAACCCAAGCCCAATATTGGAACCTAGACCCGGCCCACGACCATATGATTCATATGAATACTAAACCTAACCTGATCTCTCCGCCAGTCCGCCCCCGTCCCATCTGCCATCTCTCTACGATTCTAGAAACCAGAACTCCTCGACGGAAATTCCAGATTTCATCCTCTCCGCAAACCCTCGCATGCTTTCTCTATTCGTCTATGAACCTCTCACCGTCTGTCTCTCTCAGTTTCGAAACCTCACTGTTATTTCATCTCGGCGTCTCCGGCTCTCTGTCCCTCTCGCCTTTTGCCGAATCGCCGCCTTAAGCCTCCCTCCTTCATTATGCGACTATATCTGAAAACATGAACAAAGGCAGGGAAACAAATCGAATCTAAACAAATAGGTAAATCTGAAATTCTTTATGTTTAATTTTGTTGTTTTTCTTTTCGAACATGCAAATCCCTCAAGTCCATGAGAGAAAACTTCCGATCTAAAGCCGTGTGTACTGTGCATGTTATATATTTTTTATTAACATTTTTTATTTTTCTGGTTTGATAATTTCTTTTGGTTCAATAAAAAAAAATTCCGATTGTTTTTCCCAAAGTTTTCCTATTTTTTTTTATTTTTTTTGAATTTTCTATAATTCCTTTTGGTTCAATCTTTTAATGTTATTCATTTATAGTTGATTTATTTTATTTTCTACTAATTTTTTGTTTTTCTTAACATGCAAATTTCACAGTCTTCATCGAAAAAATTATTAAAACGGAAAAAATCTTGTCGAATGTATATTCATTTTACAACTGTATGTTATTTTTTTCTGTTTGATAAATACATTGTATTCCAAGTACAGTGAACCAATTTTCCATTGATTAGAATATGTACTCGAATTTATATATTCCCCACAATATTGTCATATACACATTGTATAACAACACACCAAGATCTATCTATACACATTATTAAATTAATAAGTTTCTATAGTGTTTAATACAGAAAAAAATAATAATGCTACTCTGTAACTAAACAAAAGATATTCAAGATATAATATAAGTCACTATATTTGGAATATATCATCAGTTTTTCTACTATTATGATCATACTTTACCCTTATGATTTCAGGTCTCAATGGCATTGAGAAACATTCTTACCCTAAGAGCCCCCAACCTGACTCGACAGAACAAACCCCTAAAAAGGTTTTCTAACAGTTGGCATTGAAGCACCCTGAAAAATGGTTTCTTACAATTTGTAATTCATGTGTCAAAATGAGGGTAAAGCCTATACAAAATGGAGGAAGTTCATACAGTAAAGCCTATACAATTAATTCAATTCTTCATGAGACAGCAGGGTTTGAAAGGAAAATATCACCTTTGTTTTTTGAACAGCTTCATGAGATAGAGCAGAGCAGCCCCACTGCAAATGTGGGGTTTAACCATGTATGCAATATGGACTATTTATAGGTAGTTTCCCACCAAAATTTAGTTTCAAAATTATGTACTTCTTGAGCACCATGCTTGCTTGCTTCTGTTGTACGCAAGTTTGGGAAACCAATGTATCTGATGTACTTCTCAACCAATGTACTCCGTATATATTTGTCAGTGAACAGTAATTCAAGGAGTAATTAAATATATTTGTCAGACACGTATTGTCAAATCAAATGTTTACTAAAATTATTTCTAATTAAAAAAAAAAGCAAAATACCTCTAAATTTTTGAGCGGGAATTTATACCTAAATCTGTTTGGCTTTTTTATATATAGGATAGGATACTAGTTTTTCACTAGCCCTAATGAGATAATGCCAATATTTATTTTTAAATAAATACTTTGAATATAATAGTCTGACAAGTGTATACGGTCTAGAACTCTTACACTATCTACCAACTAAAGCCTATATATATATATATATATATATATATAATACAGTGTTAATTCTCGCTGTCAAACATTCGCAAAGGCAGAAATTATGTGAAGTTGAGAGTTGTCTTCCAGCATGGTCTGAACGTTCTTGGTCGCGATTTGTCGTAACTAAGGGTGGTACGTACTTAGTGATTCGCCGGATATCATAAGCAAACAAGTATTTCTGTATGAAGAGGTACATGTCCTTATACATTATTCTGAACCAAAAAAAAAAATCCAAAATACTCAAATGGTATTTAGCAAATTTCATGAATAGTCATGTAGAACAAAACTTTTATGGTGTAAAAAATTTATGTCAATGAAACAGTATTGAAAGAATTAAATTAAGAAAAGATTCAATGGCATATGTACCGGCTAATATAAGGTCCTTTCCATTTTCCCAAGTTTGAAAGGTAACACATATAATGAGAAAGAGTTTATTGGTAAGATTTTTTGAAGAGTTTTTTTG